GCCTGGGAGTTTGTGCCATCTGCCTGCATCCAGGCTGAACTGGGGTCAGAGGAGAAGGGGCTTCTAGAAAGACATCCAGTGACTGCCTCCTCTCTGTGTTCCTCCCCAGCAGACCCTTGTCATATAGAGGCATCCAGAACACGCATGTGCCACAGTGGTTTCTCCCAAGCTGGGCCTTCCTGTCTGAGCTCTGTGTTCTCCTGAAACAGCAGAGCTGTCGCTAGTGAGGGGTGAGATCTCAAAAACAATGAATAACTTATCAAACAAGTGTGTGGCTTCAACAGGGACAAGAATTTGATAGCTCAGAAACAGAACTCAGAGTGGTCTTAAGAAAGGCACATTAACTATTCTTCGGTAGATCTGCCTTTTGGGGCTCTGTAGTGACCCTGGGGACCCTTATAAACCTTCAGAGAGGTGAGGCCAGAGGTCAGAGGTCAGAGGCGGTCCAGATCTGTGGCGTGTGACAGTGAACTCCCCCAGCACCACCACTAAGTGACGGCATGGTTTCCGGTCCATACTTTAAAATTCGCTTGGGTAAACGAAAAGATGAGTGCAAATCGAAAACTGCCAGAAATGACGGCCACGGAAAGCTAATTTACAAAAGCCATTCAGGTGATTACAAAGGCATGCATAGAGCCTGGTGTGGCGACACAAGCTTGTAAGCCCAGGCTTAACGACGAAAAGCCAGTCGGATCTCTGAGGTAGAGGCCAGCCTGGGCTACATAGTGAGACCCTATCTCAAAGTAATAATAATAATAGTAATGGTGATGATATAGGAGGTGGAGAGATGACTCGGGAATAGAGAACACAGGCTACTCTTTAAGCATCAGGGACGCCCCCTCCACAGTATCCCAGAGATTACAGATGAGGCCAGCTAACTTCTCAGCAGAAGGCGCTGAAAGTTCAAAGTGGGGAATCTCTGGCTCTGATACAGCTGCTCAAAAACAAAACAGGAGATAAGCCATGTAGATCAGGTTTGGTTTGGTTTGGTTTTCGTTGCAGTTTGGCAAAGGCACCTGTAGGGGGAGCCAGAACAACTGTGTTTTGCACAATCCCAAACTTTAGAAAATGAAGCCCCGCTCGTTAACTGACTCCATAATGAAATGCAGAGGAATGAACTAACCACAGAGAAATCGATTCAACAAAATCCCTTGAGGTAAAACCCCCTTAGAGAAGACGCAAATGGATTCTGGTTTTAATTCCAAACAACACAATCTTTAATGTTAAGTCTACTAACTGTTCAGGAGAACCTGACCTTAGTGACAACTCATTTTACACAAGGGCAGTCATTTCTCCATCTGAACATTTTGTTTACACTCTGATGCTGTGTGTGCTTGTGTCTCCTTCACCTTGTTTAAACAGCCCGCATGTCTACTTAGAAACGCATCCCAGGAGGATGTGAGACTACCTAATATGCCCCTCCTCAGCGTGCGTCTTGGCAGAGCAATTTTTCTACAGCAAAGAGAAAGTTAAGACAAACTTTAGTGGCATATAAGACCAGCTTGACATGGATAGGTGCAGATTCGGTGTTCAAACACAGGTAAGGTACTTGCCTCCAAGACTGACTACCTGAATTCAATCTCAGGGACCCACTCGGAAGAAAGAGTCAAATTCCAAAAGTTGCCCTCTGACTGCCACATGTGTGTCATTGCACGCATGTGTGCACACACACATACAGACACACACACTAAATAAGCATACGAAGCACAGCTATACTCCAACCTTTCACTGTTGACAGTCTCAGCTCTATCACCACCAAAAACATTACCACGGGCAGAAGAATCATTTATTCCCCAAGCTGTGAGCCCAGGATAGACCATTCTAGTTGTGGTGGAAGTGTCTATGAGCCCAGGATAGACCTTTCTAGTTGTGATGGAAGTCGGTGTTATTAAGAGCCGAGAAACTTAACTCCAAAGACCTGTCAGGTAAAAGTAATTGCACGTCCAAGGTTCTGCTTATGGTACATGTTGTTTTTAATGCAACTAGGAGTCTTGGGCCCTCGGCAATATGGCTCACATGGAGTGACGTGCGTGTGCCTTGCTGGATTGCAGACACATGTAATTAAGTCCAGTGTCTGAGACTAGCTTGGGAATGGCTGAAAGCACTGGCGTACCATCAAGGCCAAGGGAAGGGCCTGGAGCGAAGGAGGGAGTCAGGCCTTAGAGAGACGGCACCAGGAACAGTTGGCACAAGCCTCCACAAACCCAGGATAGGGGCGGGGGAACTGAGACACAGCATCCAGAAGAGAAGTCAGGGTGCTTTTCAGGACCTCAGAAAAAGCTCCCACTGCCCCCATCTCGTCCCAACTCCCTAGGGAACTCCCCCAGCAGCTGCCCCCTAGTCTCAGCCCGAATTCCTCCATCTCTCTGCCTGACCCCAGCCTGGCAAAGCCCTCTCTGCTGTTTTGCTGTCCCCGGCCACGGGCCCCATTCCAAAGCCTCTGTCTGGTCCCACTGATGTCTCATACGCCCTACGCCCAGCTCGGCTTCGCATCCGCCGCTGTGCTGTCCTCTCCAGGAGGCGCTCACGGACCACCTTCACCTCCCTAGCGAGGACCTAGATGCCAGGCACTCAGCCGATACATTTTCTTCCTTGTTCTAAGCAGTGTGTGTGTGTGTGTGTGTGTGTGTGTGTGCTTTGCACAACTAAAACTCACAACTCACTTCTCTAAAGAACATCTTTCATTTGCCTTATTCCTTCTGTAGTCAAAGCCTAATAAAACTTCCAGTTGGAGGGGTTGAGGGTGTGACTCAACGGGAGAACACCGATTCAGCCAGCACAGGGCCCCTGGGTGCCATCCCTAGCACCACATGGGGGAGGGGGGTTTGCTGAACTAAAACCCTTTGGTGGGTACTGGAGAGCAGGCAGGAAGGGGAAACTAGCCCATCCCGTGGGGAGATGATCTGGGAAGGAAAGGAAAACTATGGTGTGTGGTTTTAGTACATGCTTCTCCTAACATTAGTCTGTGTCAGGAACAATGGTCGCAGACACTCAGAGGAAATCAATTCTCAGCAGGACTCAAAAGATGGAAAAGAAAACTTATTTGTCCTAAACATCTTCCCTGGACCCTCCACACCAGGGATGAAGTCGTTTCAAAGTCAGCCTCGAACCTTGGGCCGGGAGGTGGGAATGTTGGCTTGTCATCTTCAGAACCTTAGCAAGCTGCTTTGCTGGCTTTCCTAGGTGACCTCAGAGGTTCAACTCGCAGGGGGAGCCATTGGGTACTGCTATCCACGCCGTAGGCAGTGGCATTCTGCCCCCTTGCCGCACAGCTTAGACCCAGGGAGGATGTTAGTAAGCGAGAGTAGACCCTATCCCTGGTAGGCCCTCAAGACCAGGTCACCCCAGGGCAGCTGCTCTGGTTATCCGGGCTGTGGGGCGGTGGCCCTTTCACAAGGGGACCCTATCAGCACAGAGTGCCTACTGAATGTTTGCGGAGACACAGGCAAGGATGTGCTCTCGCTTCTTTCTAAGTCTTGATTCCCGCTGCACACTAGGAAGGTCGCCCAGTCGTGCCTAAACTGGCGTGACGCTGCAGCCCTGCTCGGCCCAATCCTGCGGACTTTTGAGACACCCCAGCAGGCTATTGTGTGTCATGTGACTCTGTCTTACGTCTGCCCTTGACTTTGAGAATGTTCCGTGCTTTTTCAAACTTGTTGCTACTCTTTTCGGTGACCTTTCCATCCTCAAGGTGACCAGTTGCTAAGGTTCTGCTTTGGGTCCCCAATATCTGCACACCACCTCCTCTAGCCACTTCCTGTCCGTTCGACCATGCCCATTGCCTCTGTCCATGAGTCTTAACTTGCAACGAAAATCCCCAAATCCTTCTGTTTACCCCTGTCAATCAAGCAGCTGCTAGCAGGCTCCTTTCTGTGCATGTTAATGTCACCAGTTCCAAGAGTTTGAACTTGTAGGTGTCTTAGAGTTACCGGTAAGCCCCTCTCAATCCTGCTCCACCAAGTCCCCCTCTGCATGCTCCAACATTCCCTGCATTTGCTCCTTTGCTTCCATTTCCAACACCAAACCTTTGGTCATTCCTGCTTGAGTGCTGTATCAGCTTCCATAGCTGTTGTGCACACACCTACATATGCACACATATACACACATATACATGTATTTATGAGATACATGTGGACATTCATGTGTGATACGCACTGTATGTATGTTCTGTGTTCATGTACACTTTACATGTGTGGACATATGTACACATGTCTATGTGTGCATATGTACTGTGTGTGTTTGCACATGCTGTATGCAGGCATATGCTTGTACACTGAACATTCATGTGTGCACATACATTTATACATAGATGCACTCATTTACAAACATGCCTACAAATGTACAGATTTATCCCATATCTCAAACACAGCATACATACCTCTTCCAATCAGTTTTCCAGAGAAAAAGCCAACGTCCATGGGCCAAACTGAATTCTGATATAGTTAAATAGGATCCTATCAGTCCTTAGCTTCCCCATCTTGCCCCACCTCTCTTGCCAGCCTCCAGTGAGGACCCCAGCTGCTTTTACAGCATTCCTGTCTCAGGCACTGAGAGCTCTACACTCCTTGGAGGAAGATGAGCGCTCCGTCATCACTATGCTCCAAAGGGGTGATTACCCACAGTGCCTTGCAGCAGATCTCTATTGAAGGGGTCCTTAGCCCTCCTGGAAGACCTGAGGTGAAGACATTGACCAAGATTTTCTACAGGCCTCACCAGACCCCGTCTTGGCTCTTTAACCTGGCAGTAACTTCAGCCTACCCACCTATCCTTAGCCCTTCTAACCTTGGGGATAGTCACCTACAGTGACGCCCTGCTGAGCACATGAACTGAAATAGGCAGCTTGAACTCAGAGCTCAGCAACCGCCTAACTTGGAGGCCCTAAGAGGCATCAGTCGGGCACTTCTGAGAACGCCTCATATGTCCGTGTGAAAGGTTGGTGTCTGTGGCAGCCCGCACGGCTGGCTTCATGGTCTATGTCATGATGTCTTTGCTCTCTGTAGGCACTGGGACTCTGTGGCAGCCGCTCTGTGGAAGGGAAGGGAGGCTTCCTGCTTAGGACAGCTGCACCTGCAGGAGGCTGACCTGTCGGCGCTCCGGCTCCTGGAGGCTCTGCTCCAGACAGGGCCTCACCTGCTGCTCCAGGTGTATGTGTTCCTAGCCTCTGACTTCACAGATGTTGTTCCAGGTGGGTACCTTTCACCACGACTCACACCCACTGCTTCCCAGATGACGGGAACATGCGCCTGACCTTGTAGGACCCCGTGTCCCCTCTAGGATTTCTCCTGTTTGGGAGAGCAGGGAAACCCCACAATGACTAACACAAATGATGGTTACAGATGGCTTTTGCTCGGGGTCATGAGGTCACAGAGAGCTGGTTTCTTGGGGTAAAGCATCTAAAGTCAATCCTTAAGACAAAGTTGTGCAGAGAGGAGATAACCTTGAAAACTCCCGTGGGGAGTCTGCTCCTCGGGGAGTCTACATGTTCGTCTCTCCTGGGGCTACCCTGTTAGTAGCTGACACCTGACACCCCACATCTGCTCATCTCCTACAGATGTGTTCCCAGCTTTCATCCAGCCAGAGCACCTCGTTACTTCTTCCTCCCCCCCCTTCCTCTCTCTTCTATTTAAGTACCCAAACTTAAAACAGAAGATCTGAACACTCTGATGTGGCTGCTCATTCCACCATTCATCAAAACCCCTTTATGTGTGGCAAATACTTGTCATGAACCATGTCTGTATGCATCCTGTAGGATCCACATCCTTTAAATCATAGTTTAGGCTGGAGGCCTTAGAAGCCCAGGGACGGACTTTTTTTTAATATTTATTTATTTATTATGTATAGACTATTCTTTCTGTGTGTATGCCTGAAGGCCAGAAGAGGGCACCAGACCTCATTACAGATGGTTGTGAGCCACCATGTGGTTGCTGGGAATTGAACTCAGGACCTTTGGAAGAGCAGGCAATGCTCTTAACCGCTAAGCCATCTCTCCAGCCCCCTGACAGGGACATTTTAAAAGGACATCAAGAAGAAGAGCATCTAGGCCACTGAGCAGTGAAGCCATTTTCTGCCTCTTCTTGCTTCCGTGTAAAGACATGTTTGTATAGCATTATTAGGTTACCCACCTAATGGTACATCGTTATATTGCATATGGTCAATAGTGCATCACCATCAGGCTAGTTTTTTACAAGGAATTTATTGTTGGGATGACCGAGGGCATCTGCACGTGTGCTTCAGAGTCTCTAGGGATCTCTTTCTGTTCAATCCTCCAGGGATCAGCGCCTTACTTTCCTGGTCATCACTGTCCTGGGCCCTTGTGTCATACAGCCATTTCTTGGGTGTCATGAAGCCAGGCCACCGCACGATGCTATGGGCTGCCCTCTTGTGCCAGCACTTCTGGAGGATGGGCATGTTGGGAGCCCGTGTGCTGAGCTTGGTTCTGTTCTGCAGGGTTTACCGTGTTTGGGTTTTAGTGGTTGGAGGTAAGTGGGCCTTCTGTTCTATTCATTAAAGCCTTTACAGTAATGGTTCACGGTCCTCTGTCCTAGATCTGTGACTACTGGGCTCAGCAGAGGACCTTAGGGAAGCAGAAAAGCAGGCCTCTGTGTTCCTAGGGGACCTCGGCAGATTGGAGGCACAGATGTGGCCTCTCTCTTCAGCAAAGTAACCTGGGCTCACCCTTGGTACTGGCAACTACAAAAGACAGGAATTGTAGACATTCAGTCCTCTTCAACCTAGAACACCCACAGCATGGCTTCTGCTATGCCCTGCCAGTCAAACCATCCTTGGTAGTGCAGACCCATGAACACAGAGGTCCAGACCCTAGCTCCCAAGAGTGTGCCTCCAATGCAAGAGGTGGTGGTGCACGCTGACTCCTTGGTTACAAATCCCAGGCTCAAAAGTTCCAGCTAAAGCTGGAAACCTGGAAACCCAGTTCTCAGGAGACTATGGTAGACCATCCTATAGAATGTTGTTGCTCACACAGGAGGTCCAGGTTCCACCTGACCCTGTGCAAAACTGTGTAGTATATAAGCTGCTTCTTAGAACCTCCATAAGCACCCTGTTTCCTCTGGTTTTTTTTTTTTTTGGACACTTTGTCTAAAACAGGAAGTCCCCACTGAACCCCAGCCTTCTCTTCGCCAGCAGCACAGATATGAATGTGATGACCAAGAGTCTGTCTAGCCCTTCAGACTCCTGAATGGGGCCTGTGTGTCCTTGCCAAGGACAGCAGTGTCCTCTGGTCATCAGTGAATACACTCTGCAAGAGGGAACAGTGTACTCTTGTTTTAAGAGAACCGAGAACATTGAGAAATAGCTGGCCCATGTACCCAGAGCAAACATTTAATACAGTTATTGGCAGAAAAGAACATTTTTTTGGAAAAGAAAAAAAAAGTTGTGTTCCTACGGAGAAATTAACTACATTTTATCCGTCATTTTAAAATTCAGCCTCTGCTCCAGAATGAGGCTATTCATCTTAAAATATAAGAAGAAAACTTGTAACTGGTCCACATGGAGTTCTCTTTGGGTCTGGAGGGTTGGGTTTGTAGAGCAACAGTGTAAAGAGAGTAGAGGGCTTTATAACTGCATCTTTAAATGCTTTCGGGAAGCAAAGGGGGATCCATAGGTAAGGCCTGATGCATGTCACTGAATCCAGTCTGTTTCCTCAACTCCAAACTAGGTCAAATGCCTCCTGGGAGGCTCAGAGAGACCGACACGCAAAGGTAGAATGAGTAGCTTGCCTGTGCCCCCTCAGTTCTCTTCTGGCTTTGGAGGATCTCCTGTGGGATGCTCAAGTTCAGCCTCACCCCCTTCCCATCTCCCCACTGAACGTGGACTTCCACCCCTCCCCCTCTCCAGGTGCTCACTGGCTGGTGATGTCCTTCTGGCTCGTAGCCCAGCAGAGCGACATTGTGGAGAGCACCTGCCACTGGAGGCTCTTCAACCTGCTGGTGGGGGCCGTGTACATCCTCTGCTATATCAACTTCTGGGACAGCCCTTCCAGGAGCAGGATGGCCAGCTTCTACTTGGCAAGTGGCAATGGAGGTTTTCTTTAAGCCTGGTTTTTACATTACCTTGTTAGGTGGGGGAAGGTGCACTTACGCAGGTGTGTGCCTGTCCGTCTATTAAAGAAGGAATACCAGGGGCTGGAATCGGCTCTGTGGGTAAGAGTACTTACTGTGCATGCATACAGACCTGAGTTCAAATCCCCAGCAACCAAATGCCTGTGACCTCAGCACTTGGCAGTGGGGGGGTGGGGAGTACGGGGGAGGAGATACAGGCAAACCCCAAGACCTTACTAGACAACCTTGCCAAAATGTCAAGCTTCCGGTTTTGTGGAAGACCCCGTCTCAGGCAAAAAAGTAGAGTGATGATGGAAGACACTGCAGCTCCTCCTCTGCCTTCCACATGCCTGTGCACTGTGTGTGTGCTGTGGATACACACACACACACACACAGGAATAGCCTAGCATAAGGAGAAATTACAGTGATTACACACTTTGACAATAGGCTGACCTCCAACTGTTGCCATCTCATCAGGTGCAGCCAACTCAACAGACTTTGTTAACAGATGCACTTGAGGACCTTTTCCAAAGTGGAGATTCCCAGTCCCGTCCCCATGAGGCCTGAGAATTCTTGTTTTGGAGGTCGCTTTGGGCAGCCTTGCTAGTCCACCTCCTTTGGAAGCTGCATGCCTGGGCTCACTTTCTCCTTTCTCAGAGGTGGAACAGCTCTGGAAATTGTGGCTTCACTCATGAGGGACTTACTCATCTCAGCAGACACACAGCCTAAAACATGTTAGCAATGACCTCGAGGCTGGTGTGTCCAAAAGCCAGAGCTTTCTAGCTATAAATGCACAGCAACTCCTCCTGGCAGCTTTGAGGATGTGGCTGAGCTGGTAGTACCTGTGCCAGCATCTGTCAGCTGTCTTAGTGTGGGATGGATAGAATCCCTTTACCAAACACCTGTCATTCTCACCATACCCCCTTTGTGTCTGTGATTTTGTGGCTGTCATTATGAACCACGCCAGCAAACCTCCCCTTGTAGATATGTTCCCATTGGGACCTTAGTCCTGCCTGGAGGCAGCACCCTGGTTTGTGAACCCTAGCAGGTACCAAGGACAGAAGGGAGGAGCTTCAGATAGCAGGACATGTGGCTATCTTGACCCCACAGGTCATGCTGCTGGAGAACTCCATCCTCTTGCTATTGGCCACTGACTTTCTGCAGGGGGCACCATGGACCAGCCTATGGACTGTGGCGGGAGTCTCGTCTGGATTTCTGATTGGTAAGACTTAATGAGCCTTCTTAGCCACGATTCCTCCCCCCACACACACACACACTTGTATTTTATTTATTTTATATTTATTCTTTCTATTTATTTTCATGGGTTTGCACGTGTGGTATGGATGCATGTTTGTGCACATGTTCGCATGATGTGTGTGCAGATGCCCCATGTGAGGTCCTGAATTTGATTCCAGATGTCTTCCTTAACCATTTATTGAGTCGTGGCCTCTCACTGAACCGAGGGCTCCCGGATTCCTCATAGTCTAGCTAGCCAGCTTGCCCTGGGCCTTCCCCTGTCTCTGCCTCCCAAGTGCTGGGATTACAGGCAGCTGCTCCATCCCTTCCCAGCTTTTACGTAGGTTCCCCAGCATTCACACTTATGCAGCAAGTCTTCAGTCCACTGAGCTGTCTCCTCAACCAAAACCTGTTGTTTTGTTTCTTTGGTTAGTTAGTTGGTTTCTCAAGACATGGTTTTCTCTGTGTAGCCCTGGCTTTCTTGAAATGCAAAACCAGGCTGGCCTCGAACTCAGAACTCAGAGCTCCACCTGCCTCTGCCCCTTGAGTGCTGGGATTAAAGGTGTGCCACCACTGCCCGGCTACAACTTTTTTTTTTTTTTTTTTTTTTTATGAGCTGGAAAGACAGGGAACAGTTTAAGAGCCGTGAGTAGAAGATGGGACCCAGGCTGTGGGTAAGGAGGCTGCTGCCTACAACCTGAGACTCGGAGCTTAGCTTTGTCTAACTGGCTGGACTGCTAAGAGCCTCAAACAAAGGTGGGAGCAGCCACATCTGTCCAAAATGCTGCCCGTTAATTGAGTAGAAGATGCTGATCTCTAAGCTGCATGTGTGAGTGGCCAGTTGAAAGCCTAGGAGAACCCGTGTCCAGAAGAGAGTTAGTCCGCCACCGACAAGTCAGCCTATTGCTCTTGGCCTGTGCCCAGTCATCTCCCCGTGAAGAGGGACTCCCTTGGGATATGATGGGACGGTCCTCACAGCTGAGAGGCTTAATCATTCATTTGGGATTTTCTAGTTCACAGGAGGTATGAACACTTCCCGTAAGCCCAATAGACTGGGAGTAAAACTGGCCCCTCATGCAGAAGGGACTGATCTGTGTAATGCTTTTCCTTTGCCCACCAGCAGGTGGTGCTGGACACACCTCTGGCTTTCCTTTGGCCCTCTGGGAATCCCCAATAGGAAAGGGAAGAGTGTGCCAAAAGAAAGAGCGGAAACAACGCAAGTGTGAGTCAGTCCTTAAACCCAGGCGTTAGAGAATAGTATATCTGATACGTGTTTAAAATCATACCAAATTATGTTATTGCCAGATGTGATGGCTCATTTCAGTAAATCCAGGGCTTGGCAGCCAGAAGAGAGAGCATTGACGTGAACTCCAAGCCATCATGGTGTACATAGTGAATCTGAGGCAAGCCTGGGCTAAGTAGAAAACCCCTGTTTATAAGAAAAATAAAAAATAAAAAAAAAAGAGAAGCAACACTCACAGATAAAGTGACTATTTAGCATTCAAGAAGCCCTGAGTTCAATGCCCAACACTACTATACATGAACTGTAGGCAGACAGTGGTACATGCCTTTATGCCTTTAATCCCATCACTTAGGAGACAGAGGTAGGAGGACCTCTGTGAGTTCAAAGCCAGCCTGATCTATGGAGTGAGTTCCAGGACCGCCAAAGCTACACAGAGAAACCCTGTCTCAAGAAAGAAAGGAGGAGGAAAAAAAAGAGCTAACTATATAAGCCATATATGATGTTTCATGCCTGCAATCCTAACATTTAGCTCACGCAGGATTGACATAAGTTTGAGACCAGCAAAGGCCATGTATCAAGGCTTTGTCCCAAGAAAACAAGTAATTTTTTAAAAGAAAAATTATAAGCCAGGTGATGGTGGTGCACGCCTTTAATCCCAGCACTTGGGAGGCAGAGGAAGGTGGATCTCTGTGAGTTCGAGACCAGCCTGGTCTACAGTATGTCAGGACAGGCAGGGCTACACAGACATCCTGTGTCTCAAAGGAGGAGAAGGAAAAGGAGGAGGAGGAGGAGGAGGAGGAGGAGGAGGAGGAGGAGGAGGAGGAGGAGGAGGAGGAGGAGAAGAAGAAGAAGAAGAAGAAGAAGAAGAAGAAGAAGAAGAAGAAGAAGAAGAAGAAGAAGAAGAAGAAGAAGAAGAAGAAGAAGAAGAAGAGATTTAAAGAGAGAGAGGAAAGAAAAAGAAAGGGAGGAAGGAGGAAGAAAATTATAGAAGCTGGAAAGATGGCTCGGCAGTAAAGAACACTGGCACCTCTTCCAGAGAACATGAGTTTACACATGTGGAGTCTTATAAGGGTCTGATTCTAGTTTCAGGGCATTTGGTGGCCTCTTTGGAGCACCAGGCAGGCATACATGCAGGCAAAACACATATACATAAAATATTTCTCAAAGAGTTATAGTTCCAAGAATACAGGCTTGAAATAGTTCCTGCCCAAATCTCGGCTCCCCATTTCCTTCTTTCCCTGGACAAACATGTATTTAGTGCCTACTGCGTGTTAGCCTTGAGCCTGGCCAAGAGTCCAGCAGGTAGCAGGAAATCAGCGCTCTCAGTGCCTCTGGCTGCGGCAGACCCTGCTGCCTACCCAGCATCCGGGGCGCGTAGGGAGGGTAGCAAAGGTCAGCTGGTTTGCTGCTCTTCTCTGCCTTGGTAGAACTGACTGCAAACGCTGAGTGTTTGGGCTTGGTAGGCATCCACGGCATTGCATAGGAACTAGCACGTCAGCTGTGTCCAATACAGAGAGGACAGGAATGCTGGTCCTTGTCCCCGCTTCCAAACCTACCGCACACCAGTGCCCTGCCCTTGTCCCCGGAGACATTGAGGGTCTAAGGGCAACGTCCTTTGGGTTCCCTCCTCGGGTCTGCCACGCTGCCATCTCCCGGCGCCTTCAGCCTCCTCCTCACACTTAGCTCAGGTCTCCTGAAACTCTAACGAGCACCCTTAACCCAGGCACTTTCTCCAGTGTGACAGGAAACTGGAAGCAGCGTGGGCGGCTTACTGGAATGCTCTGTCAAAGAGATTATTGCAGCAGTCAACACTTCTGATCGACATCAACGAAACTGACAACAGCGTGATTAAGATGTTTGTGCACAGAGGAAGTGTTGTTGTTCGTGGAAATGCCTTGATAGGGGCTTTTGAGGAGCGGGACTGACCTCTGCTTCGGGCTCTTGTTTTCGAGGTCGCGTTCTTACCTCCTGCCTCCCCCGGCTTTGGCATCTGTCCACACCGTGCCGGTGGTGTGGTGGGATTCTGGAAGTTACGAGATTACTACTTTGCCTCTGGTGCCCGCGTGCAGACACACATTGGCCCATAACTTGAGGGGTCAATGCCAGACGCCCTCCAGGCTGAGAGGCTCAACAGAACGAAGCCACGGCTGTACGTTCTTTTAGGTTCAGACACATTTATAGGGTTAGATGCTGGGGCCTGTTTAAAACTCCTCCTGAACAATATCCAGTTCTGAGCCTCTCTACTGTAGGTCAAAATTATGCTGCTCAAAGTAGCCACTGAGACTGCCACTCACGGGGGGATATCGGGTGTCCCAGAATGTCACCTCATGTTCTCCTTTGTGCTGTTTTCTTCCCAGGCAGTGTCTCGCTGGTTCTTTATTATACCTTGCTACACCCAAAAGCTGCAGACATCCAGCAGAGCTTCCAGAGGAGATGCTGTGGCCCCATAGAGAATGACAAGGCTGAATCAGAGGTTTCGCCCAGGGCTGTGGTTCCAGCAGGGGAGAGGTCAGAGAGCTCAGGCTGGTGCCAAGAGGAAAGCTATGAGCTAACCCGTCTAGATAAGGCCTCCAGCCCAGCGCAGAGTACGGCAGAGGTGGAGTTGGGGGATCGAAGATCTGGGGAGTATTCCTTCTTTAGCCACCACCACTGGCTGTTGGTGAAACTTGCTCTCAAGACAGGAAGTGTATCTAAGATCAACGCAGTCCTTGGAGGTGACAGCCGTGGCTACTCCTGTTCCCTTGTGTTGGGGTCGAGTCAACACTGTAATCTGCAGAGGAAGCCCCTGTTTTCCCAGAAAGATCTCCCATCCTCTCCTTGTGACCCTTTGACCTTGGAGAAAGGCTCTGAGTTCGCAGGTGCTCCAAAAGCAGAGATGGAGTCACTGGAAACTTCGAGCTTTGTCTCCTTTGCCAGCGAGCATGAGGACAACTCAACCACCCAGAAGCCACCAGCTCCACAGGAGGTAGACAACCCCAAGGATGGGACCGAGGCTGACCTGGAAGCCCAGGGGAAGGATGCGGATGGGCCTCTGAAAGGGGAGGAAGGACAGGCAAGCACAACACTGTACTTCAGTGCCACCATGGAAAGGACCACGCCCTCCTACCAAAAAGGCAGCCCAGCGGCCCTGCAGGCATCCCACTTGGGGACACTGAGAGAGAGCGGGCCTGTGCAGCCTGCTTCGCCCCAGGCAGCCACTAAGCCCTTTCCTGTCACCGTGGCCAACATTAGTCCCATTCCTGGCAGAAACTTCTGCCCCAGTGCAGGCCTCCCTGGGCGAGCCCCAGATAGCTCAGAGTGTGAGGAGTGGAGGGAGCCTGCCAAGGACCTATGTGCACAGAGGTCATTGCCAGGGACGAGCCTGAGACCCGCTGAAGAGCCGCGATTCACATCGACCCCTAAGTCTGAGTCTATCCAGAGGGACCATAGCTGCAGAGACAGGAGGAAACAGGAAGTGAGTTTCTTCATCTGATCTTAGCCGGGGTGGAACGGGTTGAAACATCAGACTGGCAGTTCAGCATCGTGGGAAGAGAAAAAGCCCACACCTGATGCCTGTGTCCTACTTCTGAACTCTACCTGCGCACCTGAAGAGATGAAGGAACAGGATGGGATGACGTCTAAAATTTCGCCCCGCCCACCCCACCCGACGTATGCGCAGCAGAGAGTCAAGTGCCGTGGCGACAGGCAAAAGGGTTTCCGGCTCCTTTTATGAGGTGCGTGAGCCCCAGCGCATTTCTCTTGTCTGCGACTTCCTGGAAATGCAAAAGGAAAACTCGGAGACCAGTTTCATCCCGGACTCTTTGTAATTAGCTGTTCTTCACGGGGGACGCTTATTCATCACTTGTTAAAAATGCTTTGGGGAGGAGGAGATATGACTCAGCAGTTAAGTTACGCTATTCTAGAGGACCCTGGTTCAATTCCATGGAAACTCATGATCACCTGTGACTTCAGTCCCAGCGGAGACGATACGCTCTTCTGGCCTCTGTGGACACTACACACACATGGTACACAGACACACGTGCAGGCAAAACACCCATACACATACAGTTTTTAAAAATAAAAACAATGTGCTTCCTAGATACATTATTTTTAGTCTCTTATTGTTACAGAACACATTCTTTCTGGATGTAAACGAGAAGTATGCTCATAACCGACATAAATGAAAACAAGAGCACCATTTTGAGTTCAGATCCTTTTGATGGGACCGAAGTAACAGCTAGGCACAGACGTTTGGTTTGGTTGTTTTTGACTGAACTAGTTGGGTTGGTTTTTTTTGTTTGTTTTTTGTTTTATTTTTATTTTTGTTTTTTTCATATGCATTAGTGTTTTGCCTGCAGATATGTCTGTGTGAGGGTGTCAGGGCTGCCATGTGGGTACTAGGAATTGAGCCCGGATCCTCTGCAAGATTAGTCAGTGCTCTTAATCTCTGGGCCATCTCTCCAGCCCCCGCAGTCGGTTGTTTTAAGACAGCACCTCAGTCTCACTATGTAGCCAAGAATGGCATTGAACTCCTGGTCCTTTCTCCTCCACCATCCATCCTTCCTTCAAACCAACCATTGGGTCTCTGTTTGCTTTTTAAGCTATTTCCTTCATGTCTACACTGTGTTCCCTCTTCCATTCAATGTACAAGAGCATCAACAAGGGAAGGAAACATCCTTGCCCAGATGCCCAATTCCTTTCTAACTCTTCTCTGAAGGCATCCTTTGCTGACACGTGATTCCTGTTATTTCCCAGAGTTCTCCTTCCCAGCTGGTTAAGGAAGCCCATTCATAAACCATCAAAGAGCAAAGCATGTGGTGGGGGGGGGTGCGTGGTTTGCCCTCTCCAGACACCTCTAGGTCCTGAGGCCATCACAGGGCATGAATAAGAAGATGATGGTGCTGCCTAGCTCAGCATCCCCAACTGGGGGTGAAAGAAGGATGCTACGGTACATGGGTAAGCAAGACAGGAAGTAAGGGAGTTTGTTAACAGTGACACTATAGTCATTGTGCTTCCGTGGGGTCAGGCTCCTGTTCTACCTAGGCTCACCCCAAACCAGATGAGAGCAATGTGGGCCTCTTCCTGCTTCCTAACAGACATCATCCCATGTCTCCTATCATATCCACTTTAGCGCTGCCTTTGCCTGTCTTCCCAAGCCTGTCCTGGCTAAAGTCCATCTCCGTCTCACTTTCCCTCCTGCAGGGAATCTTCCTACACTTTAAGTTTCCATTGTTGCTAACACCACCACCAACAACACACACACACACACACACACACACACACACACACACAAAGATCACACATCAAGGTGCCATCTCATCTTTGAGGTCTAACACCAAAGCCCACCCCAGGTGGTCCCTGGGGCAATACAGGAAGGACGAACTACCCATCCCTCGTAAATGTCATTACAAACTTCAGTTTCTGCGTGACTCCTAGTGAACAGGCACTTGTTCCCAGGAAGGCAGGGAGGAGAGGAGAAGAAACAGGGGGAAAGAGGAGTTGTCCTTTCTTTACAAACTTCTCACTTCTCTGACAAGCTGGAAAGCTGGATCTTTTCCCATAATTCATCCTGCCTTTCATTTAAGGAATCCTGATGAAGGGACACTAAATAAGATTCATCCTTTCTGCCCCAGGCCTTCAGCCCAGCATGACCTTCACAAATGACCTCCTGTCAAGCTGCAAGTCAAGTACTCAGGTAGCCAAAATGACAAGAAAACAGGCGTAGACTTACCATAGAACACCAGTGAGCCCACACTGACTTTAAATGCTTATTGTGACGCCTACTGAGTGCTGGTAAGCAGGGCCACACTGTTACACAAGGAAGAAATGCAGTTTGTGGCCATGGTACTCGGGTGAAGCAAGTGACCCTCCCCATCCCCTCTGAGACGGGCTGCCATCTATAGGACCCAAAGGCTGATCTAGGAAAGACAGACTCTATTTCCCTCCTTCAGGGATAACATGAACCATGAAGACACTCTCTAGGAGTGAATTTAGGACCTTTAGCGGAGTGACCCCACAGTAGGCAAGGTTGTATCAGCGCATTGCACTGCAAAGCAACCCCTTAGGCAGAAAGTTATAGAAGCAACAATAAGGGTTAGAAAACTCAGCTCCGTGGCCTTTTTGAGTGATTGGGTTTGATGGGCAGAGGGCAGCAGGTTGGGGGACTCTTTGGGAAATGTTCTGCACGTGGACACTGCAAATCTCCTTTGTGGAGGACAGCTCAGGGAAGAGAAGCTGTGGTTGGCAAAGAAACAAACACCACTGTATACTCCGTGAGACCTCGGTGTCTTATAAATCACATGGTCTTGCTTTTGCCTTGTTTGACAATGTCTCCAAGTGCCCTTGCATTGTGCTCTGTAAGATGGCGTTGCCCAGCCAGAGAGCACCACGGCCATCCGGCAAGCTTCAGATCAGGTCCTAGCGACTCAGGTTGTTCTCTTCCCTCAGAACATTCGTGGTGGCTGGATGACCGTCAGGTTCCCGCTTCCCCTCCAGAGAACAGACATTGCTCATTTGCCCCATGTCTGCACCACAGTGTGAGCTCCACGCTGCCTTGTCTTCAGTAGGCTAGAGCTGACCTGAAATAGGCAGGCTTCACCCCTGTCCAGGAAAAGAGATAGAGTTGGGCATGGAATCCCTTAGGAACCCAATGTCAATGCCATAGCAACAGAGCTAAGAAAAGCAGAATCAAGCCTGCACCGTCTTGCCTGTGTCCATCACCAGGCTCGGAGAAAGAAGCGGGTACAGCCCTGCTCGACACAAGCATCATTCCTCCTGATGGCAAGCACCCCACTAGTGCCTTCTCTTCCTTCTACACACCAGCTGCATGGAGGACCAGCTAGGCCTGGATCTGAGGCCTATCGTGGATTCTCCCCTCATCTCTGTCCACCTCGTGACTTAGCCTTCCCTACCGCTCCCCACACTCAGATCCAGTGACTCCCCCACAGTCCCCTGCTGCATCTCGGAGCAGTCCTTGCACCTGATCAGCACCCCAAGATGGTGGAGCTGGGTCTGTGTGCCTGCTGTGTCTGCCTCATTCTCTTCCATCCAGACTCCAGCAGAGGCACCCATTAACCCAAGTCCAAAATGGCCCAGGGGGATTTACATCTGCTGTTGCAAAGGCCTGATCTCTAGTCTTCCAAGTCTCTAGGAGAGAGACACCTCATGTGTCTGAAGACAGATACTGTACTGATCAAACAAACATCTTTGATGCCCTGCCTATCAAAACACAGGAGAACCTAGAGCTCCCAGGCTTGCAGGAAATCAGAGTTGGTTTCTGTAAACATTACTGTAACTAGCTCCCTAGGATAGCTTTTTTGCTCAGTGGTCTGCCCCCTCATGATCCCTGGCCTGATGGATATCTGTGTCTGGCATTTGGCAGCCATTTCCTATGTGTAACTCAACTTGGAAGTTCCCTGCACACCTCCAGGAACATAACTTCTAGGTTTTGGTCCAGACAATTGTCCCTGCTCCGGCGCCTCTTGTGGCAAGTGTGTGTTTGCAGACAATCGCCAACACATAGGGACCTGGAAGGAAGGAACCATAGACATGACCACCCTGCCCCCAAGGTGGGGCAGGGTCAAGATCATGATGGGGAAACCCACAGAGACAGCTGACCCGAGTTTGTGGGAGCTCGTGGACTCTGGACTGAGAGCTGGGGAACCTGTATGGGGCCAAAAGAGGACCTATGAATGTGGGTGACAGTTGTGTGACTTGGGCTTTTTGTGGGGCCCTTGGTAGTGGAACCAGGATTTATCTCTGATGCATGTACTGGCTTTTTCGAGCCCATTGCTTATGGTGGATGCCTTGCTCAGTCTTGATGCAGCAGGGATGGGCTTGGTCCTCAACTTGATGTTCCAGGTTTTGTTGACTCCCTGTGGGTACCCTTACCTTCTCTGAGGAGTGGATGGCGTGGGAGGGATAGGGAAGGGGGAGGAGAGAAGGGATGGCGAATTGTAGTTGGTATGTAAAATGAATTAAAAAGAATTAAAAATGACTACCCTGTTCCTTCTCATGCAAGGACCACAGTAGCCCAACCCACACAAAAGCTGAAGGGCACCAAGATCCCACATACCCTGTAAGGTCAGCTCCCACCACCAGTGCAGGTCCCAGACGGAGGAAGACTGAAGATGTGTTATGCCCAGATCCTCAGAGGCCCCCCAAAACCAACCAGGAGACTGAGTCCCGTATGTGAAAGCCAAGAGCTTTCATTCTTATTAAAGTTCAAACTTGGACTTTCCAGGTGACTTTAGCCCAAGCCCTCTTTGTACCGTCTGTTTTGAGACAGGTTCTCAAAAAGTTGCCCATGGCAGTCTTGAATTTGCCATCCTCCTGCTGCGGCCTCCAAAGAAGCCGAGGTTACAGGCGCACTAAGAACGGGATTTTACGTCTTCTGCGAGAAGACGGGTAAGAAGGAAGCTATCTGGCGAGTCCTCCTTAAGCTCTCGCAGCACATAGAGAAAGGCTCACCTGAACACGTGGACCTGACGCTAGCTGGCCATGCTCCTCTGCAGATGGGCGCGTCAGCTTTGGCTGCAGCTCAAGCAATGCTTGCTCAGTCCCGGCAATCTCAATCAGCATGACACATTGCTAGGGGACATGGGTCATTCACAGGCTCTTCTATAGCCTGAATGTCCGTGGCATGTCGTCCGAGACCATCCCCAGGCCAGGCGTGCCCTAGAGAGACTGGGCATCTTGGGATGTCCAACTTCCATTAGGAGAAGCCACACTTCTTCAGTGGAGGTGTGGACAGACTCACGTTACCGCAAGAGGCCTATGACTGAACTTCACCCACACGGCCATTCCTCTTGCCAACGACTCTGCAGTCACCACGAGAAAATGTCGATAAGAGGGAAGAGCTAAGGCAGTTACCAAAGGCTCAGAATCCAGAAATCCAGAAATAACAGGCTTTCCGTGCCCCCAAAGGACCTGTTTTTATAAATAATTTTTAGAAATTCAATACACGTTTTCTCTTGCTGCTCAAGAGAGTAGGCAGAGGGGCCACCCACCAATACACGTGGGGTGTACGCTGTCAGCTTTTAACTTTCGCTGATTCTGTATGCTGCTTCTGCTTAGCTGTGCTCCTGCCTGCCCACTGCCCAAAGTCAGGGCTGTTCACAGCTGTTGGAAGGGCCAACAGACAAGCTTACGGGATTTGTCAGCCCCAGAGAGAACTCATCAGCTCCTTGGATATTCCTCTGCAGCCTTTTCCTTCAATTCTTTCATTACACAGCTAAGGGGGGCGCAGGGAAGCCACACCTTAGACAACACACAGCCAGGCACACACAGCAGTCCAACACTAGTGTGTAACATCAAGCAGGACGCAGATCTTTGTGGTCCTCCGCACCCTATCAAGCAGAGGACTGCGAGACCCCTTTTGAGCTCTCTCCTGAGCAGCTTCATCCACTGACCACACTGAGGTGAGCTAAGCACCACGGAGGATTTTATTCTAACATTTTTTATTGTTTTATTATTTTGTATGTATAAGTATTTTGCCTACATACATATCTGTATACCATGTGTACGCAGGGCCCATGGAAGCCAGAAGTGGGTGTAGGATTCCCTGGAACTGAAGTTAGGGGTGGTTATAAATTGCCACCTGGGTGCTGGGAATTGAACCCGGGTCCTTGGGAAGAGCAGCCAGAGCTCTTAACCACTGAGCCACGGCTTCAGTCCATTTGCTTTCCTCACTGTTTGCTTTTAGATGGG